CTCAAAGGGCAAGGTTTCAAAGTGTACAGAGTCCATTGTCAGAAGGGGGGAATAGCCTACAGCTGTTCAGGTGTTTGGCCAGTAGCAGGCAATAACATGTAGATTAAGATGCTCTTTAACTGTCTGGCAGCCACAATCAGTTTCCTGTTCAGGTTTGGGGAAATGCCTTTAGCCATTCCCAACAGGTGACTACATGTGTGACTCAACCCTGTTGAGTCCCCAAGTCTCATCAACCTTTTGATGAAAGTCGTGAAATTATGACATGCTGGAATTGGTTCCCGGCAAGGGAGCCACTGAGAACTCTGGGATCTAATCCTGAAGCTGGGCTCCCCAGCAGAGAACACCAAAGGAGAAGGGTACCCACATCACCATCTAGGAAAAGCAGTGGGGTTCTGTCTGCTAGGGAGTGGCAGCTGAAGGGTTGGGCGCCCTCTTAAAGGGCCAATGCACAAAAATTCCCCGTGGAGCCACCCACCTGGTGCTCTGACAGAGGGAGGGTGAAGTGGACTGGAGCTGTGAGAGCAAAACCCAGGACTGAGGACTCGGGGTATAGAGCTCAGAAGGCAGACACCCCAAGTTTCCTGGGCTGTAATTCCCTCACACAGCAGAGGACATCTTTCCCACACAGACATCTGCCTTGCCTGGGTAGAAGACAGTCAACACACCCTGTTGCAGTGGTTCCGAACCTTGGCTGCACATTAGAATCACCTGGGAATCTTTTTAAAATCCTTATTTCTGGGCCTCATCCTCCGGAAATCTGTTTCTATCTGCCAGGGAGTGGCAGCTGAAAGTTTGGGCACCCTCTTAAAGGGCCAATGAAAAAAAATTCCCAGTAGAACCACCCACCTTGTGTTCTGGCAGAGGGAGTGTGAAGCTGTGAGAGCAGAACCCAGGACTGGGGACTCGGGCAATAGAGCTCAGAAGACAGACATCCCAAGTTTCCTAGGCTGAATCATCCCCTCACACATAGGAGGACATCTTTCCTATACAGACAGTCAACACACGCTATTAGAAAACACCTTGCCCTGAGGACACTTAAAAGATTAAAAGTAACAATTAGCCTCCAGGCAGAAGCAACTGCCCCACCCTGTTGAAAAAACTCTTGCCACACCTGAGCACAATTGCCTGCGGGCAATTCACTTCAGAATCCTATTAGTCTGTGTAGACAGAGGCGGTCTCTGGAGGCTTTGTGTCTTTGCCTGATCCAATTTGTCAGAAACATCCTATAACACTATCCTGCAGTAGAGATTGAGAGGTGTAGAGGCTCTACCTAATACACAGTCACAAACCCAAACAGACAACCAAAATGAGGAAACAAAGAAACACCCCCAAATGAAAGAACTAGCAAATTCTCCAGAAGAAAAGATAAATGAAGCAGAGACAAGAAATTTATCTGAAATAGAGTTCAGAGTAATGATGTTAAAAATGCTCAACAGTATGAAAAAAAGATATAGTAACTATGAAAAAAAATAGTCTGAGATAAAGAATGACATAACACTAATAAAGAACACGTTGGAAGGAATACACAGCAGAGTAAGGGAAGTTGGGGATCGAAATGGTGAATCATAAGACAGAGTTGGAAATATCACTCAATTAGAGAACCAAAAAGAAAAAAAACAATTAAAGAACAGGAGGACAGCTTAAGGGAGCTGTGGGACAATGTGAAATGGAACAATATTAGAATA